TGGAGGAGGAGGAGGAGGATTAGGAGGGGTCCCAGATGGCCTCGGAGAGGCCCGGCGGCCACAGATCCTCGGCCCAGTTGAGGGCAACGGCCAGCCTCGTATTGCCTTTTGCCGAAGAAGCAGAAGAAGCAAACACCATAACATCATAATATTTTTGGCGCTTCACGCGGAACGCCACAAACTTGTGTTTTTGTTATGGCGTTTTCTTTCTACTGCATCTCAGGAGTGGCTAAGTCTAGACTAGACAGAGTATGTCGAAGAAGAAACGACGGCACAAACATAAGCTTTTGGCGCCCCGCGCGGGTTTCTTGGCGCTCCGCGCGGAGTGCCAAAAGTTTGATTTTATGGCGTTATTGTGTCTTCTTCTTCTTCTTCTTTTCTTCTGCTTCTTCTTCTTCTTCTTCTACAGACGGCCACGGATCATCGGTCCTCGGATCGCAACGGCCAGTTTCGGATGGCCATTTGGCCCAGGAGAGGCTGATGCCGCCCCGAATGCCCGGCGAAAGCCGGGGGGTCGGGAATGAGAAGTGGCATCAAAGACACGTGCGTTGCCTGGCAAACAGTGAGTTCAGTTCAGTTCAGAAACCTTGCGTCCAGACGGCGCGCGAGCAGGGTTTAAACTGTGAGCGTAACGAAGTTTCGGTCGTGTTTAACCGCTCCCCATCCCCATCTCCATCCCCTTCGAGACCCCCTCCAAATTACCACCTCAGTTGGGGATACACCCCTCGAAACCCGCAGGGAGCTGCCTATATCCCCATCTAGGGGGGTAAATCGGCCAGTGGGGCCCAGGCCACGCCGCTGGGGATGGGGATGGGTTGAAGGATACTCAAAGTTGCTTTCTCACAAAGCTGGATGCTTCTTGCATTGTCGCACGCCGATTGGGTCGTCCAGCCAGCGTGGCACCGACAGGGCTCCTGCCCTCCAGAAGAGGGGGGCGTGCACGGCGGGGGCCCGTCACGACCCGGGAAGCCCTGCCCGAGGCACAAGATCCACGCCTACGCCGTGCCGAAGTTCCTCGAGGAGATGGGCGGCCGCAAGACCATCGACTTCTGGAACTTGCACAGCGGCGGGTACGAGGCCGCTCGGGCTGCGCAGACCACGTGTCCCTGGGCAGCGCGCGGCCCACCGTCGACTCCACCCCTCCCACGCCCCTCCCTGGCGCGCGGGGGCGGCGCTGGAGACGCCGACAGGGGGGCCCAGTCCTCCTCCTCCTCCTCCTCCTCCACCTCCTCCTACTCCACCTCCTCCTCCTCCTCCTCCTCCTCCTCCTCCTCCTACTCCCCCTCCCCCCCGCTCACGTGGACTACCCACCCAACCATTACCTAGACCTCGGGGACACCGAGCCCGGCCCGCGCGGAGTGGGCGTGACACCTGCCTTCGGGCGACGCGCTCGTCTCGGGATGATGTTTTGGCTTGTGCGTGGGCCACATCTCTGATCGAACATGTTGTTTGTTGTCGCCCAGGCGCCGGCGATATTCTTCATTGAGCGTGTTGTTCTTGCCTGAGCGTGGGCCACATCTCGGATTGAGAATGCTGCTGTCGCCTAGGCGGCGGCGACATCTTTACTTGACCATGTCGTTCTCACTTGGGCGTTGGCCAGATCTTGCATTGAGAATGTGGCTGTCGCCTGGGCGCCAACGACATTCTTCATTGAGCACATCCTTCATTGAGCACGTCGATCTCGCGGTGGCGCCTGCCGCATGTCCGATGAAAACATGCGGCTGTCGCCTAGGCGCCAGCCACATCTTTCACTGAGCATGCCGATGTGGTGCTGATGGCGCTGTTTCACAGGCGCTGCCCGCATCCATGATCGAACGTGTTGCTCTCGCCTCGGCGCCGGCCACATCAACAATTGCGGCAGTTGCTCTCGCTTCAGTGCCGGCAAGATTCTTCCTTGGAGACGAAACGGGATACAGTCGGCACCTTGGCATGGCATGTTCCTGTGCCGCCCAATTCTTGTGCTTCATTTGCTACAGTGCGCGCGTGTGTCGCCGAGCCGCTGTTCACGTTAGCTTCAGTTGGTCAGGTTAGCTCTGGCGTAATCTCGAGAGGGCCTGGGTCAGATTAGGGCTTGGGATTTGCAACTTTACGGGGGGCGTGTAGTGGTGGTCACACCTTCGTCGCGACAGGGTCCGCGCATGGCAACTCTCTGACAAAGCAGGCTACAACAACATTGACGCGTCGAACCTCAGCAAGCGGAGGCGAAGCGAAGGCGAAGCCAACGCAAGGTCGAGCGCGAAGTCGACGCTAAAGCCAGAGCCAGCGCAACGCCATACGGAAACATCTTCTCCTCTTTCTCCCCCTATCACACCCTTCAAACCAGAGCATAATTGTGGCCGCTTGCATCTGCTCACTTGTGTTTTCTTGTTCTGTGCTGGCAGATGCTTGCCCCATATCGTGGCACCGATGAACCTTATAAACGCGGGACCTACTGCTTGATACATTTATTTCCCAACCATCCTGTGGTGGTGGGTCTTCATTTTGAGGTGACAGTGCCCCGTGTTCTCCTCCTCTCCTCCCCCTCCTCCTCCCCCCACCATCCTCCCATCTCTGCCAATGCTCTCCGCATGTCCATTACGGCACATCCCTCACACGCTTCGTGACCCCAGAGGGTGCTCCACCGAATGCCCCAGTGGCGGGTCTCGCCTACGTCCCCCGCACGCATGTCGGCACACCTCTCACGTGTTTCGTGGCCCCAGAGGGAGTTCCGCCGAAGGCCCCCGTGGCGGTTCTCGCATGCGTCCCCCGCACCCATGTCGGCACACCCCTCACACTCTCCGTGGCCCCATAGGGAGCTCCACCGAAGACGATGCTCACAAATGCATTGCTCACAGCTGCCCATGGTTGGATCCTTTGCCTGGCGAATTTTGTTGTTGACCCCCCTACTCTCCCCCGCCTCATCCGCGTTGAACAAGTTCAACCCTGCGCTTGCTCTCCTCTCCCTCTCCCTCCCCCGTTCTTCTCCTGCCTCCTCCCCTCCGCCTCTCCTCTCCGCTCCTCCCCTCCTCCCTCTCCCCCTCCCCCACGTCATCTCCCTCCCGCCTCCCCCCTCTCTGCCAGACCCATCCTTCTCCTCCGCCCCTCGCCCGCCCTCCCCCCCCTCCCCCCGCCCTTCTCTTGCGCCCTCCCCTCCTGCCGCTGCCGGCGGCGCGCCCGGCGGGGAAGCAAGGGGGGGGGGTGGGCAGGGCCCCGCCGTGCGGCTCCCGACGGGCCTCGGCGGCGAGGAGTCCGAGCCCTGCTCTCGCCCATCAACGATCCTCAGAGCCCCGAATCATCAGGGGTAACTCGGGTCAGGGATAACTCGGGTTCGTTTTTCGGGAATCCAAACCCGAGTTATCCCGGACCCGAGTTACCCCGGACAACTCGGGCGTCCAGAGCCCCGAATCATCAGGGGTAACTCGGGTCAGGGCTAACTCGGGTTCCTTTTTCGGGAATCCAAACCCGAGTTACCCCGGACCCGAGTTACCCCGGATAACTCGGGCGCCCAAGATCCGCACGACTCGGTTTGGTACTCTTGGATCCCCAGAGTCCCGTCTCCCTTTAGGCGCCTTCCGTTTAGGTCCAACGACCGAGCGGCCTCCTTCGCCTTCCTACTTCCTGTTGTTACCTACTTCTTCTGGCCGAGGTGCATTCTTCCACTCACCTACCATGCGGCCACATACAAGGTAGTCAATCGGGCGTCTCGCGTTGCAGAGTCTGTTGTTTTGTTTGAGCTGCTGATCACCGCCCTTTTTTGAAATAGGCGCCTCTTTTCCAAGGAAGCGCGGACAACAGTTCTCGTCAGAGTGCCGCGCAGCGTCTCTTGGACATCGAGCTTCCGCCTGGCCGCGCCGCGACCCGTGCCTTTCCCGTGCCTGCCGTTTTGGGAGCCGGGGGCCGCGCGCGCGCGAGAGAGAGCGCGAGAGCGAGAGCGAGAGAAGTGGAGAGCGAGAGCGAGAGCGCTGGCCTCACAGCGAGGCGGACGAGCCAGCGATCGCAGCAAGCAGAGAGAGAGAGAGGGCGAGAGCACGAGAGGCCCGGCGGCATGCGCGTCGGCCTCGCGGCCCCTGCGCCTCCGAGAGCGCCGACCCCGCGCGGCCGCGCCCCCGCCGCGGCCGCGCCGCCGCCCGCGGCGGGGGCCCGCGGCCCGAGCCCGCGCTGCGGGGCGCTGGCCCTGGCGCCCATCCCTCCTTCCTCCCTCTCCTCCTCCTCCTCCTCCCTCTCCTCTCCTCCTCCCCTCTCCTCCTCCATTCCTCCTCCTCCTCCTCCCTCCTCCTCCTCCTCCTCCTCCTCCTCCTTCTCCTCCTCCTCCCTCCCTCCCTCGAGGGCGCCGCGCGTGACTCGGGTCGGGCGAAAGGGGGGGAAATTGCAAAGGGGGGGGCTGAGAATCGGCTCACGCAGCTGATCTTCCAGGCGCCTCCCGGCGCCGGAGGCGGCTATGCATCGAGGAACGGGCCCCTTGGTGAGGCCGAAACCAGCTGCATGCAGCAAATTTCGTAACCCCCCCTTTCCCAATCCCCCCCTTTCGCCCGACCCGAGCGTGCTGCTCGGGCCTGGCGGGGTCGCGGGCCCAGAGGTGGGCACCGACATTTTTGGGTCTGCGGGGCGAGAGCGAGCCTCTTCCGGTGAAAGCTGGGCGGGCCACGCACAGCTCTCAGTGGGGAGGCAGGGCACAGGCGGGCGGGGCCTCAGGCGGCCGGAGGGCGGGCCGGGGTGCAGGCGGTGCCGAAGAGCTTGCACAGGAAAGAGAACGCCTTGGACAGGAGCCGGAGGCGAATATCCAGAGGGTGAGCGGTGTGGTGTTGCCGTCAACGGCGCTCCGTAAAGACCATCCTCAAGTGCAGGCGGGCACCAACATTCGGGGGCGGAAAAGAGGGGGGTGATGACCAGGGGGGGGGGTAGGACATCATGGCGGGGGCCGTGGTGTTTCCCCAGATTTCATGGCGCCTCTGCTATTTCATGACGTCCCTGGCCTCCCCGCTGGGCCGCGCACATGCCGCCGGTCAGGATTTGCACCCCCGCCTCTTGGACACCCCCCTCTCGGCCGCTCCCGAAACATGAAGGCGGGCCTGTCCGACCACAGGGGGGATGCTCAAAGATAGTCCCAAACATCGTCTGGGGACGATTGTTTTGACGATTTGTTGGACTCTTTCACGGCATTTTTGGAATATATTTTTAGTTCTTCGCCCAAGATCCCCCTGTAGGGGGACATGCCCGACTTAACACCAACACCAAGATCGACCGTGTGCCTCCACCGAGGTAAGAAGATCCCGATCTCGGTGGTGGTGGTAGTATGCTGGCTTCCAAGGTGACCGAAGTATTACCACCCACACCGAGATCTGGGATCACCTTCCCCCTGCGGAGGCAACTCCCTGTGTTGGTGTTGGTGCCCATTTCCAAGCCTCTAACGGAGTTTTTTGGACCTGGCTGGACCTGAACGCCGTTTTGCTGGACTGGACTTCGGCCGTGTCTTGTGTTTTACGTTTTGGCGGGAGGTGCAGGAGAAGAGGTGGAGCGAAACGAAGCACAGCACGAAATCAAAACGGAAAACAACGTTCAGGTCCAGCCCTGAGTGGAATTGAGTTTCTGGCACGGTGGCAAAACTTGCCGCTGACCGACCTTCGCTGAGAACCCGCCAGGTAGGGCCAGCGGCAGGATGTGCGGGGCCCTTCAGACATGCCCGCGAGCGCGAGCGAGCACTCCGAGGCGGGAATTTATGTATATATATATGTATATATATATATATATATATATATACCCCGCCGCTTGGAGGTTCAGTTTTCGGAGCCTCGGCAGGCGGTGAATATGGACACATTGGGGCCCCTGGGGGCCGAAACATATCCATATCCACCGCCCGCTGGGGCACCAGGACGTCGGTTCCCAGGCGGTGGATATGGATAAATCCCCGCCTCGCAAGCACTTCCACTTCGCCAGAGCAGGGGTGGGGCCGAGGGGTGGGCAGGCACCAGTTCCGAGCACCCTCTGCTGTTGTGGGAGAGCGGGATGAGCAAGGCGAGGTAACAGCCAACGGGCGCGGGAGGGTTGACCAGTAGCCCTCAACGATACCCTTGCATCCCGGCCTCGGCCTCCCCCTTTGTGCCAATCCTCGGTTTCGAGAGCGAGCGTACCACGGGCTCACATCTTTGCCGAGCATCCCTACCTCGCGCGCCCATTGGGCTCCCACTCCCACTCGTGCCCACTCGGGAGGAAAGGGCGATGACGGTCCTGCGACAGGGTTGCCTGCCGACTCCCCGGCACGAGTTGGACCATGGCCAGGTGTGCGCGTCGTCTCCCTTTCGCCTCATCCTCCCTGGACACAAACAACCTCCTGCGCGTCCTCCCTTTCCCCTCCTTCGTCCTCCTCCTGCTCGCCCTCCTGCCCCTCCCCTCCTAGAGGGGGGTGATGACTAGGGGGGGGTGGATATCATGGCGGGGGCCGTGGTGTTTCCCCAAATTTCATGCCGCCTCTTCTTATTTCATTACGTCCCTGGCCTCCCCGCTGGGCCGCGCACATGCCGCCGGTCATGATTTGCACCCCCCCCTCTTGGACACCCCCCTCTTGGCCGCTCCCGATCTATCGGGACGACCGACATGGGCACGGAAAAAATGGGTACAAAGACTGACAGCAGTTCCCCATCCCCATCCCGATCCTAGGGGGCCACACGCGAAGCCTACCCCCACCCCCCACGATTTCTGAGGGGGAGGGTGGGGTTCACTTCGTTCGGGAGCTCCCAAGCGAAGTGAACCCCACCCTCCCCCATCCCCATTCCCATCCCCATCCAGACTCCCACCATTGGGGACGACCGACATGGGCACGGAAAGAATGGGTACAAAGACTGACAGCAGTTCCTGTTCATTCTGAACAGGATTCACTGTCGGCGTCGCCGCGGATCGTGTGCATTTGTGGCAGAAGGCCGCCTGCGCAACAGCGGCCGCTGTCGGTTTGGGACAACATTTGTTGTTAGGCATTGTACCCAGTCTTTCCGTACCCATTTCGGGTGTCCAAACTCTAGGCCTCCCAGATGGGGTCGGAGTAAATGTAGTCGGAGGATCGCGCCGCATCGCCGATGCATCAACAGTGCGGCGCGATGCGGAGCCCGATTTTCTCCACGCTGGCGTCGCCGATACATCGCCCACGTCGACGATGCATCGCCGGTGCATCGCGGATGCATCGCCGATGCATCGCCGATGTATCGGCGATGCGGCGCGATCTTCCGACCCCATCTACTCGGACCCCATCTGGGAGGCCTCTAGTCCCAGGGCATGATCGCGTCGTAAAAAACAAATCGGGACGGGAGGCTTTTTGCTATTTTCGGCCTCGGGGGGCTTTCGCCAGGCCTCGGGACGGTCAGAAAACGGCTCAGGACGAAGAGCCGGTCCCGGGGAGAGGGTCGGGACTTCCAGGGACGCCGCCCTGAAGACATCGGGAGACTCTCCATGGGGGGGGATCCCATGGGATCCCCCCCCCTGGGATCCTATCCCCCATGGGATCCCCCCCCATGAAGAGTCCCCCTCTTCCAGGGACGCCGCCCTGAAAGAGGGGGAGGGGGAGGGGGAAGGGGGAGGGGGGAGGGGGGAGGGGGAGGGGGAGGAGGAGGAGGAGAGGAGGAGGAGGAGAGGAGGAGGAGGAGGAGGAGGAGGAGGGAGGGAGGGGAGGAGGAGGAGGCAGGGCGTCGCATATCTGGGGCTGTCCGCGCGGATCCAGCCGTGCTGCCGAGAAGCCTCGTGGAGGCCCGCAGAAGACGAGATCTAGCAGGGAGGGTCCATCCGTTGCCTCGGCTGGCCAGGTCCCTCCTCCTCCTCCTCCCCTCCCCTCCTCCTCCCTCCTCCTCCTCCTCCTCCTCCTCCTCCTCCTCCTCCTCCTCCTCCTCCTCCTCCTCCTCCTCCTCCTCCTCCTCCCCTCCCCCTCCCCCTCTCCTCCTCCTCCTCCCTCCTCCTCCTCCTCCTCCTCCTCCTCCTCCTCCTCCTCCTCCTCCTCCTCCTCCTCCTCCTCCTCCTCCCCCTCCTCCTCCCCCTCCTCCTCTTGTCCTCCTCCTCCTCCTCCTCCTCCTTGTCCCCTCCCTTCTCCACCCCCCTGAGATCCGATGTCGTGATTTTTTCAATACGTTGTCCCCAGAAGTCTCGACCCTTTCCCCGGGGCTGGTTTCTCATCCTGAGTCTTTTTTTGACGGTTCCGGGGCCCAGCGAGGGCCCCTGGAGGCCGAAAAATTACGAAAAACCTCCGTCCTGATTTTTTCAATACGTTGGATCTCTGGGCCCTCTCCCGGTCCTTCCCTTCCTCTTGCGCCCCTGCTCCTGCTGTAGCTGGCCCACCTCCTCGCCCTGCCCCCGCTGGGGACGGCCCCGTCGGGTCCGGGGCCCGGCAGGCGGAGGTGCTCAACGAGACGCTGCTGCACTCGGGGAGCTCCAGGGGCGACGCCCAACCGGAGGAGGAGGGACGAGGATCAGAGGAGGAAAAGGTACCCATACCTCTACCCCTCGCTGGTTTTCCTTTTTGGGCCTCCTGGGCGGCCCTCGTCGCCACCGCTGGATTCGCCTCGAAGTCCTGGTCAGAACGCACCCCGGGAGAGGTCCGGGGAGTAGCGGTATCGGTACCTTTTGATTTCCCCAGGGGAAGGGGTGGCAGGGAGCCTCGGATCTAGGCGGCGCAAGAAAACATCGCGACGCCCGTTTTTGCCCGTTGTTCGACGCCTTCGGAACCTGCAGGCCGTGTCCCGTCCCCGTGACCGTGCTAGAACCACTCGGGATGAAGAGCCAGCCAGCCCCAGGGAAGTGGTCGAGATGCTCGGGGGCCGGCGCCACGAACAAGAAAACACGTCGGATGAGAGGGGAGGAGTACAGCGAACACGGTGGGGCCTGTTTGGTTTTGCCTGGGGCTCGAGGTTCTCTCTGCCCCTCCTTCCCGTTTTCCTTCGGCGGTTCTCGGAGTTCAAGGCGTTGCTGAGGCCAGATTCAGGTTTCGTCCCTTACCCAAAGTTCCTGTCGGCAAACATTTCTGTAGGAGTGAGGGTGGGGTTGTTGGGCGGAGTGTTGTCGGTGTGTTTTTTTTGTGACCATCCAGGAGGACCATCGAAGTTGGTGTCATCCTGGTGACTTTTGACGGTCGTCGCACTGGCCGCGGCAGCGAGTCGTTCGTTCAGGCAAGGTCCAAGGACGAGACTGAAGAGATCATCTTTGAGATTCTTCACAACGCAAGCTTCAAGTACATTGGTGGACTGGACGCGTACTGGATCAATTACGTCGAGCCTCGTTACCATTACAAGGATGCTGTGTTCGTGAATCCCTCGTGCGTGGGGCATTTCAAACAGGATGGAGAGTGGAGCTCCGATGTTCTGTAAAAGTTCTACATATGCGGGGTCCGCCGCAAGTTAACCCGCAAACAGTGCTTGCATTGAGTGGTCCGTGTCTCGACAATTGCCATTCCGTTCTGGGAACGTAGTTGGTGTGACGTTGGTTCCTGAACCTTGGTCCAGGATTCCTGAACCTTTGGTTGTTCTGTTGCTGGTCCGTTTGATAATTGGATTGGGATGGGTTCGACACAGGTGCTTACACGATGGTTTCGGGAATTCGGTTGGTTCGATGCCGTGTCCCTGTGTCCCTGCACATTTGTTCTGGGAGTTTGGATGCTTTGGCAGTGGTGCAGTAGTGCCCACCTTTCTGGTCTTAGCACCCGGTTGGCTCGACGCAGGTTCCTGCACTTGACCTCCCATAGCTAATTTGGGTGGTCCGATGCTTTTGCTGGCGCTCAGGGTCCGGCAATGTGGTTTGTTCGATACACGGGCCTCCACCCCCGTCCCAGTTGCGTGATCGTTTGGCTTCTGGTGCTGGTTCCGCACGCACGCGTGGTTGGCGCGACGCTGGCCCCCGAGCCTTGGTTCCAGGAGTCTATCAGTCCGGGATCCCTCTTCCGCCTCGCCCCAATTCCAGCAGCTACTCCAGATTTCACAATAAAAGGGGGGTGGTCTGATTTGGGATGGGGTCAGATTTGAGCTGTCTTGGAGGGTTCCAGTGGGTCTGGGCAAAAAGCCGCCCTTCATGGCTTGTTTGGGGGGGTCTGGAATTGCCCGTCTGTGAGGGTTGTGACCCCCTCCCTTTTATTGCGAAATCTGGAGTAGCCATGTCACGGCAGGAAATATTCGAAGTTAGGAGCGGTGTCTGCACGTGGGTAACGCCGCTCAGGTCCACGCGATTCGCACGACGACGACGACGACGACGACCACGACGACGACGACGACGACGACGACGACGACGACGACGACGACGACGACGACGACGACGACGACGACGACGACGACGACGACGACGACGACGACGACGACGACGACGACGACGACGACGACGACGACGACGACGACGACGACGACGACGACGACGACGACGACGAGACGACGGCGGCGGCGGCGGCGACGGCGACGACGACGACACGTGCACAGAAGGGGCAACGCACGACGAGGCAGCACAGGGAGAGGCAAGATACGCAGGGCTCCTGCTCTCTACGCCCAGCGGCACGGACGCCATTCTCTGTGCCCAGCGGCAGCGCCCACATGGCCCGTGAAACGAGGAGCGGCGGGGGGGCAGCGGAGGAGGAGGAAGAGCAAGCAACGATCAGACGCGGCTTTCCAGGCGACCGCAAGCATGGATCGAGGGGGCGTGGATTAGCGACGGGTCCCGCTTCCGTGGGAAATCGCCGATTTCCGCCGCCGAGCGAGGCGGCACCGGCCGCAGTTTGGGGAGGTGCGCGCCAAATCCATGGTCGCTAATCCGTGTTTGCGCGCCCCCGAGCAACGATCAGACGCGGACTTGTCCGCAGAGGGCCCCTGTGCACTTACAGTCGGGGCACTGAAGAAGGACCCCTTTTCGTTTGGGAGGGGCTCCGTGCTCCTTAGTTGTTTTGCAGTGTTCCTTGGGTTATCCAGAGGTTTTCCATGGAACATCTGAGTTTAACTCATGGGAAAAAGGGGCCTCGTTCCTTATTTGGGGTTCCTTGGGTCAACGCCCCAACTGTATGCGCCCAGCAAAGGGCCATCCTGGCCGAGGCTGGGGTGGGCGTGCACAGCGTGCCGGGGCCCAGAGCGCCCCTGGCCGGGCGCTGTGGTGGTGAAGAGGGGTGCCTGCTGCGCATCCCGCCTCGCCCCGATCTCCAGGAGCCTCGCCGGGACTTTCCGAGGCGGGGGTTTATATGTACTTAGACACCGCCTGGGGGATCGATCCTCCCAGACCTCCACAGGCGGTGCATGTGGATATGTTCGGGCCCTCGGGGGCCAAAATAATCCATATCCACCGCCCGCTGGGGCACCAGAACGTCGGTTCCCAGGCGGTGGATATGGATCAATTTCCGCCTCGCAGACTTGGCCCCGCCGGGGTCCACCTCGATCCGATCGATCCGATTCGGCATCGGCCCTGGCTGGCTCGGCCTGCTCCGATTCCCATGCTCCGACGAGGCTCTTGCGGCCAGATGCTCGCATGGCTCGGCTGTGCCTCCGGGCGCAGTCGGCCCGATCCGATGCTTCGACTCCGTGCCGATGCCGCCCGATCCGACTCGCGTTCCTGTGCGATCCGCCTGCCAGGATTCGGCTCTTCTCCCGCGCCGGGCCTCCTGCGGCGCGTGTCTCTTCTTCGGCGGGGGGGGGGGTCGTAGGCTCGGCTCTCTCCTCGCTCTCTCCCTGCGGCGGCGGCGGCGCCTGTGGTGCGCCGCCGTGCCGTTCCGTGATGTTGGTTTGTGGTCGTGGCGGCCCGCGCGCGCCAGTCGCCCTCGTGGTCTCACCACGGCGCGGTGGGGGGGTGCGGGCGATGCTCTGGAGGACCGGGACGAAGAGGAGGAGGACGATGAGGAGGGAGGATGAAGGAAAGCGGGAGGAAGAGAGAAGCATAGAGAGAGAGAGAGCCGAATAATATATGTACACCTCCCTCCCTCCCTCCCTCCCTATCTGCCTACCTACCTACCTACATACATACATACTTGCATGCGTACCTCCACACATCCATACACACATCAATTAATCCATCCATCCATTCATTCATCCATCCATTCATGAATGCATACACACATACATACACACATACGTACATACGGACATACATCCGTCCTCACGACCGTGAACACGTACATACACATGGACATACATGCATACGTACGTACACATACATACATACATGCAGCCACACATGCACATCCATTGTCCATCCATCCATACATGCATGCAGGCATGCATGCATACATTCATATATACACATCCGTCCGTCCGTCCGTACATACATCCATGCATTCATGCATGTATGCAACCATACATACATACATACATACAGACAGACAGACAGACAGACTTACATACATACATACATACACACATATGCATATCCATATACATTTACATGTACAGATACATATACATACACATACACATACACATACACATACACATACATACATACATACATACATACATACAGACAGACAGACAGACAGACAGACAGACAAACATGCATGCATGCATACATACACACGTCCATCCATCACCCATCCATCCATCCATCCATCAATCTATCCAACCATCCATCCATCCATCCATCCATCCATCAATCCATCCATACACACATGCATGCATGCACCCATACACAGTTTTCAATGTACATATTTAGATCCATACATACATACGCGCATCCATGCATGCATGCAAACACATGTACATGCATGCATGCATGCACACATCCGTCCATACATGCATGCATGCATACGTACACGTAAATACATAGGACTAGGTATTCTCTCTCTCTCTCTCAGCATGTGTGAGTGGGGAGGTACCTATTCAGGAGTCACGGCCATGAACACACACACACATGTATACACAACTATATATATGTATATAGACACACGCGTCTGCATACTTCTCAAGGGCTTCGTCCTCGGCCGCCAGCTTCCCCTCTTATGGCTTTCAGGGGTACGCTTGGTGGGTAGGTCGCTCGGTGTCCTTGTCGGCCTTCTGCTTGGCAACCCGGCTGATTGCCCATTTGTCCAAATTGAACTTTGGTAGTTGATGTTTGATGTTTGCTGATTGGCTGGCACTGGTTGCGCGCGTCTGTCATAGTTTATGAGAGGGCGGCGGCCTTGGGAGCGCGCTTCCATTGTGCTTTTCGAGGGTTCGAGGCTTCGGGAGCACGCACCCTTATCTATTTATGAGGAGTCGTGGGCTCGAGCCCCGAGCCAATTTCTCTGGAAACGAAAGGGGGGCCGAACACCGCTCCCCGAACACATACCCAACATGAGGCCATGCAAGTTTTCCTTTTTCGGGAGGATGGCTTCTTGCTTGGTAATGTTCAAGGCACTCTGGCTTTGAAGTCACACACTCGCGCGCTTCCCGAAGGGTTGTGGCTTCGGGAGCTCGACTCTAGCATTATGTACTACGGATTGTGGCTTGGGGAGAGCAAGCATGGTGTAATGTACAAGTGATTGTGGAATCGGGAGCGCCACGGCTTCGTAATGGTGTGTGTATGGAGAATTGTGGCCTCGGGAGCGCGAGCTTGGCGTACGTTTCAAAAGACTGCTGTTTGGGGAGCGGGGATCTGGTGTAATTTGCAAGGGGGCCTCGGCAGCGCGAAACCGTTGTAATGTGTGATTGGATGTGGCCTGGCGAATCTGAATTAATTTGCAAGGGATTGTTATACGGGGGGCGCGAGCATGGTGTAACTTGCAAAGGCTTGTGGGGTAGGAAGCGTTGTCTGGGGGAGGCGAGGAAGGCGTAATTCACACGGGGTTACATCATGTGTCCCAGGGCACCAACAATTACGTTTCGCGTATCCCCGCCAGCCCATCCAGAAACGTTGATGAACAGGCACATATAGTGAAACGAAGTGGGCAAGGGGGTGGCCTTGGACGGTCTCTTCGGGCCATCCCTTGGGCCCGCGTGGGGGCGAGGGAAGGATGATGAGGAAGAGGAGGAGGAAGACGACGACGACCACGACGACGAGGAAGAGGAGGAACAGGAAAAGGAATATGATGAGGGCACGGATGAGGAGGAGGAGGAGGGAGAGGAGGAGGAGGAGGAAAACGGGGATGAATACAGAGTCCTCAAACTCAAGGCACAGCTCAAGGATGTTACTTAGGGCCTTGAAGGATTTGGGCATCTTGCGGGGGTTCCCGAGGGGGCTCCGAAAGCACTTGCCCTCGTCGGGCCTCTTGGAGGTGTGTCGGAAGCTATCTTGAACCATCGTCGGCGATCTTGAGCCATCCTGGAGGCCATCTTGGAGCATCGGAGGCCCT